GGAATTGAGGAGGAAGCAAATGTTAGGCCGTCTGGCTTGATGCAGCAAGTGTATGTCTGTCATCACCTTCTCTCAGCAACAAAGAGTCGGCACCACACTATAAAACCACAGCAGGGAAACCCCGTCAGCACTAAAAAACTAGAAAGATGAAAACTTTTTTCTTTTTCTTTTTTTAAGGGGTACTTATGTATAAAACCTTTACTGTACTGTAGGTTTTGGAGCGAGTTGAGAACTGGATTCATGGAGCTAATTTTCCTTGCTAAACAATCTTCAATCCTTATTTGGAATTGTATTAAAATTAGGAAAGGTGACTCAAGGTCTACTGTTGCTGTGGTGTTATTGGTCAATATTTTTCAAGATGGTAAGCCAAAGCAGGAGTCAGTGAAAATGTGGAAACTCTGGGGTTTTCCAGGGCCTGGTGCTGCAAAAGCTGGAAGGAATGTATACTGTCCTCAATTTCAGGACATTGCACGGCAATACACAGAGTAAGAGGTCTACAAACATTCACAACCTTGGGGGTGGAGGGAGTGGGCTTCCGCATACTGTAGACTATATGATTTGTATGTATATATTGGTTTGGGGTGCCTGAGTAATTCCAGTCCTTAATCTTAAGACCTTGATAGGGAATAACATTTAAATGAATTTCCAAACCTTCCTCTTCTTTCAAGACCTCTTTCTGTTACTCATTAGAGGCTTGGGAAAGATGTCAGGATTCATGAGAAGGGGCTGATTGTATCCGGTGTGTACTGATTCAGAAATCCCCCTCCTCCTCCCTTACAGAAGGCTAAGAGTCTCTTGATACTGCAAGTTTGACGCAGTTTAACCCCCGCAAGGGAGCTTTCTGCTGCCGTTTTGTTCTTTGATCACATTACAATAGAATAGTCATTAATAAAATAGGTAAATGTGCACACCATTTGTTAACTATTGAATATGGCAACCAACAAGTTAAAGATAGCCATACATGTAGCAGGCTCTGCTACTGTAATTGGTCCTTTCCTGACTGTTTTATATCTTAAGATGGTCAGTTTGTAATGACAGAATTATACTCAGTCTCCAATACCCAATGATCAGTTAAACTCAACAACAACAAGCACTAACTTTGAGTAGCCGCCTTCTTGCTACATTCAAGACTAAGAACAGCAGACTGTGGCTCCCTCATAACTTTGGATGAACATTGTAAAATGGCAGATGCAGCAACCAACTTGCTTTTCTTGACAACTTGTGGTGTTTGGAGGTAGTAGGTTGACTTCACAGCCAGAGCTGTGATAGAAACTGTCATACAAACTCATGTTTCTGCTGTGTGAAGATGTCCGATGTTAAAATCAATTCAAAACAATCTCATTTTCTGGTCCATTTACTTGGTATTTACACATAGTATGATTTTATGTAGCACGTCTATCATCATCGTCATTCTACCACTTTGTAGAAAATCCAGTTTGAAGAAATATTTGAGTTCAGAACAAATGTTCATGTTATCCAGGAGATTAAGAATCACCACAGTCAGTAGGTTTATTTTTATTTTAGTGCAACCATAAGGCTGCACTAAAACAGGATTTGTGTCTTTAAAAAATTGATTTCTGTGGAATTTGATGCTCGCAATCATCATGTAGAGCAGGGGTGTCAGACTCATTTTAGCTCATGTGCTGAATACAGCCCAATTTGACCTCACACAGGCCTGACCAGCAAAACCACAGCATAATAACCCATCAAAAAAACCCAACTAAACTCTCAAACCATTCCCATTCAGCTTTGTCTCAATTGTTTCACATTTGGTGTGTTGCAATTTTTAATAAGCTACTGTTTTAACTTAAAGAAACGCGTCAGTGTGGCTCCTTGGCTTAACCATCTTTGGGGTGGTTTTGGTCGGCAGTGTGTAATGTCTTTGTCAGCAGGAAGGCTGTAAAACTGGACATGATTCAGAGCTCTGGCTTGAATGGCAATTAATGATTAGGACACTCTCATGATCTATTCTTGTGCTCCGCTTATCTGTAGTTTTCACACTTTATGAACCCTTACAGGAGGCCTGATCAGATATTTTTAGGAGACTTGTTGTAGACTGTTCACTTTGTTTTTCTATACTTATTTATTTTGGCTGTCTCAGACAAGAAGACAGTTGAGTAAACTTTATTTAGTAAATTAAAGTTGCTAAAATGGGAATGAGTGTCATGGACACGTCTTTTGTTTTTATTCTCTTCTACCACGCAGACTCTTTACATTAAAAAGATGCTTTAAATGAAAGGCTTTGGGGCTGTGATGCTTGAGTCGACAAAAAAAGCATGTCTCCACTCATTTCTTTTTCCCACCCATGGGCATAGTTGTTGAGTTGATGGATATAATTTTCCACGGTCTGTTTTTAAAGTTTGTTTTCTTAAAAACCCTTTAATGGTTAGCATCTAGCTGGCTTTATCCACCCATCCACATCTTATATTTATCCTTCTCTTAACATAATAAATATTAACTGAAGGTTTTCATCGACGCCACAGCTAACCAAATTTTCTGTCAGTGGGTTCCACTGTGTCTCACCATGTGAAAATGAAAACTCTTCTCAGCGGTCCTCGTACCATTAAAGGGACTAATGACATGCAAACTCTGCTGGATAGAAATGTCTATATTTTCCACGGCAGGGTACAGAGTGTGGTTACTGCCTCACAGGGAAACTTTGAAACCAGATGGAGCCTGTCCCACACGAAACAATGCGAAAAGAACAGGGGGGCGGAGGGAGGGGCCGAGGGGGATCTAAGACAAACACTGATGCACTTGGCAGTTTTCCACTCTGGGATTTACTGTGGTGTTTATTAACATAACCAGATGCACCTCTAGGTTCACATGGCTTATATAGCAGGACCTGCTGTTTAGTAGTTTTCAGGGATAACTCTTCATTTTTGGGGGATTTTTAATAATCAGATTTTTTTTCTTTGTTGATAAAATTCTTAGAAATCAAGGAGGTGTGTGACATACTGGAACCCACTGACTCATCCTTAACTCTATACAGGGTGTCATAGATAGTTGGCTCTGCATGTTTCTTCCTGAGGCATTTCTAATATTAGACTAGCCTCAGGCTACTTCCAAAGAACACTCTCCCACTCGCACATGCTCCCACAATACAAGATTGATGTGCTGTGTCTTGGGCTTGGGGGCAAGTTATGAGCTCAGGATGTCCTTTTACCCGCAGCAGCACTGACAGGTGGTGACAAGCCATTTTAAAACTATTTGTGAGTAATGGTCTGGCCAACACTGCAACAGTGGGCCTCTCTATGCACCTTTCAACAAGCTCTTAATATTATATCCTGTCAACAAGGGACTTACAGGTGAAGGCGCTGCAAAACAAGCTCTTTTGTGCAGACGTCTACATTTTTCAATGTTTATGAGCCTGAGGCGCAGTTCTCCGGATATCGAGAGTTTGGACAGTTGTCAGCATGCATGAAATAAAGAATGCTCATTGTATGACAATGACTTGCTTTGTAAGGATATTTATGAACAGTTCTTTTTCTTACCAAATAGTTTTAACAAATAATCCTAGCTGAAATAAAATCACTTTCAGAAATAAGTGTTGGTGTTCTCGTTCCAGCATACACCCAGATTCAGCCGCATTCGCTGGTTCAGCAACACAAGCAGCAGCAGCAGTTTGTGGTTCAGCAGAGCCAAGGTTCCCAAAGGACAACGGGCCAGCTGCTGCAGACGGCCTCCGTTCAGCCGTCACAGCATCCTGTCCCCGTGCTGCCCAAACCTGCTCCTCACCAGCCTTCTACACCGAGCCAGCAGGCTACCATCTTCCACTCCACTATCAGCCCACATGCCCTTCACTCCTCCCTCAACCATGCCAAAGCTCAGCCTGTCCAGCTCACTGCCATCAACCTACAAATCCAGCCAACGGTACGTACACAAACGCAGATTAATGCCACACACAAAAGAGCTTGAAGACAGGATTTTTCTAGGTTGTGAAAATGCTGCAAGTTTGACACAAATGGGCAGCCTACCTATAAATAAACAGTTATAACAGGTCAAAAACTCCACAGATAATTTTTCAAGGAGGCTTCTTATGCTTTACCTTATTGTCTCTTGTTTATTTGCAATGACAGTGGTGGGCACTCATATTAAACGTGGTCATTACTTTAAATAATGACTGTGCGTAATCCCTGTGAGTCACAAACTCGGACTTAAAACTGTTCTAAATGCTCAGTTTTAGACATTTTTTCCCATTCTTGGATCTTTATAATGACAAGGTGAGCAAATATGTCTAATATGGTGATCTTACTTAATTACCTGCTGTTCAAACTATGTCTGACTGCTAGCTCATCTGAAAAAGTTGAGTTTAACCTGAGAGGATGTGGTAGCTGAACCTAGGGGCTACACCAAATCTCAGCAAAATGTAAATGAGGATTATTTTGAAGAGTGAAAATATGTCCTTGAAATGAATGTAACCCATCTGCTTTAATTAAAATCACAATTAGATGTGCAAAGCTATTTGGGTTCAAATTTTTGAGACTTTATTTTCTAATATGAAAAATGTCAATTCTCCAAAGTGAACTTTTCACCTGTGTCCTACCTGTAGATATGAAACCACAGGAAAATATCTCAGAGTAATGCTATCCTTTTCAAAATTGCGTGATGAATGTGTTTAAAGTATTTTGAGTTCTGGTACACGTTCTGCAATTTGGTATTTTGACAGTGCCAACCAGCTAAACAAAAACTACTTTTACAGCAGTTCCACAGTCTTCATTTCTTCTCTAAGAGACACAAAGGGAAAAACCCCAAAAAACACAGGAATCTTCACAGTATTATATTTTCCCCCTCATGTGATGTTTTCCAAAGCTGATGGATTTCAATTTTTCAGTCCCTGATGTTTGTTGTTTTATCTCAGATGTCTTCTTCTCACACTTTTTTCTTTTTGTTTGTTTCTACTGCACTTCCCAGGCCTCCCGACTACTTCAGGAGAGTAAAGATAAGCCGACCTCTCTGGTAGTCAGAGAGACATGTCAGACCCCATCCACACAGCAACAGCAACAACCACAACAGCAGCAACAGCAACAGCAACCTGCAGCTTCTCCATCCCAACCCTCCAAGCCTGTAGAGCAGTCCAAGGTTGACTCAGCCACACCAGCTGTTCAGCAGCAAGGTAGAGACTCAGTGGGATTTTCTAAGCTGAAAGTCTTATTAAGAACATAATTTATGTACTTGCCTCTGGGACGACATTACTAGTAGGAGTTAAACAACTGTTAGCTACAAATTTGCACCTCGACAATTCAGCCATCTCACATCTGATGTCTTTAATCTGTTCACTTGCATAATGAAGGAAGATACATTTTTGTTCTCACATCAAAACATGTGTTATCAGCTCATTCACACTGCTCTTCTTATTGTTTTCCATATCTGTGGTCGTGACTTCACCCTAACCACTCATCTTATGAATCAGAGGGGGTTTCTGCCAAAGGTGTTATGATAATGAATCCAGTTTTTCACTCTTTTCCAGCATACATCAATCACATAGACATTTGTTGATTTCATTATGGGTAAACTGATACATCAAAATGATAATAGAAACTTTAAAATGTTTATATTATATCCTTAATTCTGCTAAGTTCCACTGAAATTAAAAATCTTTTTCGAGAGGTACACCGTCAAGAAGGAAACGGATATTCTAATAATTTTGTAAGCACAAAAGAGCACACAGTGGTAATTGTTAAACACTACAGATAATTTAATACACAATTCAGATTATAAGCAATTTTACAATCAAATAAAATCAAGATCAAAACTGGTAGAACAATGTGCTCGATTGTAACCTCTTCAGATAATGTCCGGTCCTTCTGTAAGGTCCTGCCTTGTTTTGGCACATGCTGTCTGCTGTCGAGTTGTGTAATACTCACCTGGCCAATAGGGAGCAGTTGACATCGAAATGTGTTTACATTTGTATAGTGTGCCAAAGTTTTTACACCACAAATATACCAGATCCCACTAACTATGGCCTTAGTCCTAAAGTATCAGCTAACCTAAAGTATAGCAGTTTAACAAAATGACAAATACAAGCTGGCTTTCTGTCTGTGTTAATCTCATAGTAGCCTACCAACTTTTGCCATATGACTGCTAAGATGGGCTCCAGCCCCACCGTGACCCTGAGTTGATAAATGGTTAAGATGTTTCCCTGACACTTGGGGTTTGCTTTAGTCTTAACCTTTAAAATTGTTATTTTAATTGCATGTTTTTCCAGTTATCATTTTATTTTATTGGGGTTGCATCCATTCACTGGCACATCTTTTCACTTTGGGCAGGAACTCTGGGATTTACATCTCATTTAGTTTTTCACTTATGGGAAGTTTACCGGTCCTTTTTTCTGCCTGTCTTTTTCTTTGTGGTAGTTTTTAAGTCTTGCACCTTCTCTTTGGTGACGGGCAATTTGACGCTATCGTCATGCGTTTCCTACACACTAATCTTTATTGTGTAGTTCATAGTCATTTAGTAAAACACATACTTTCGAAAAGTGTGCGTCTCTGACAAAGGAGACTCAAGTATTGCCTTAGAATGTGTGGGGTGGAGATGCACAGTTCCACATAAGCTCTTGTCCATTAGTACCAACCTTAGGTGATGATACCAGGTACTGTTTTTGTACTTACTCTGCTGGCGTACCAAATGATTTCAGGGGATGTCAGCACACTGCACGCAACCTATTGGTTTGTCAGTGGCGTCACAGAATCAGTTATGAGGGCGTCTCCTTCATGAAAATCAAAACCACCACTTTGTTGTTGCGTTCGTGTCACATACTAATTAAGTCACAGGACGCTTGGCTGCGTTGCTATAATGACCCCAAGCACATTAGGTGGTACTCGATTGTAATAGAAAATGAGTTGAGTTGTGCCCCACATCGAGCTGATCTGAGTAGGTACTAATCGAAAAGGGGTGATAAAGGATATTTAGGCACCCATTTGGGGAATGCTTTGAGACCATGTTTTGCTTCTATGGAGTAATTCATTAAATTAAGTGCGGACCAAACTGTCTAAATGGTGTGGAGATGATTCCAATATGTGTTCTGGGGAATTTCTTTGTGTGTGGGGGTAGAGTGTATATTGAGGGACTTGGATGGCCCGTGTAACTCTAAAATCCTTTTTGCGGCCCTGCTGAAAAGCATGCCTTTTGTGGCAGGGTTATTTGAGGATTGCTTGCATTTTCCGTGAGAGACCGGTTGAAGTCTGTGCCAAAAAGAAGATATTTCCTGTAGTAGGTTGAAGCTGGAGGCTCTGTGCTGGTTTGTGTTGTTGTGCAGCAGCAGCAGCAGCAGGCGGAGTGAGGAGGATCAGAGCTACTAACGTGGGAGGAAACGGGGAGGCGGGGAGATATTTACGTGAAGCGGCGCTGCAGCTTAAAGTCGGCCACAACAGCGGCAGGCTGGCGTGTCGGAGCAAAAACAAACAGCAAACCGCACGTGCTTTCTGACTGAGCAGAGCGGAAGTTGCGCGGTAAGAAAACGCTTTCTCATTCAATCCAGCCGGATTTTAGGGTGACAAAGCGCAGAGGAGCGGTGTTTACTTTCGCTTTGGAGGGGGTTTTCACAAAAAGCCGAAGCGTCTTTGTGGCGGTGCAAGCGACAGATGTGGGGTGGTTGCGTTGATGTTGACTGGTACACTGTTACAGGAGGTCAGTGCGGGATCGTTTAGGTCTGCCGGCAGATGAGCAGGTGGATATGACTGCGCTAATTTGCCTGAAAGTGACCGTAATTTGACATTTGAGATTGCGAAATGTAATCGCATTAGTCCTTGCAGCCTCGGTGCTGTTATATGAAGACAGACATTTACGATGTTGCAAACAATACTACTAATACTACTAACAACTACTACTACTAATACTAATGATGATGATGATGATGATGATGATGATAATAATAATAGGATTCGTGTTCTCAAAAGTTTAGCCTTTAAATTTATGGCTGCAACTAATTACGTTATTCATAAATTTATTTATCCATAAAACATAACAAACAAAACAAAGTTTATGTTTGCTTGCTGCAAACCTCCGAGGTGTCAACTCCATTGTTATCACACACTCAGTGGCCACTTTATTAGGTACAGCTTGCTACCTTTTTGTCTTTAGAGCTGCTCTAATTCTTTGTGCCATAGAGTCAACATAATGCTTGACACATTCGTTAGAGTTTGATCAGTTAACGATGTCAGCATCACAGGTTTTGCAGATTTATCAGCTGCACCTCAATCAGATGAATCTTCCATTTAAACACATCCAAAAGGTGCTCTGTTGGACTGAGATCTGGTGACTGTGGAAGCTATTCGAGTACACTGAACACGTTTAAGAAACCAGTTTGACTTGATTGGAGCTTTGTGTTATCCTGCTGGAAATGGCCCCCAGAAGATGGGTATGCTGTTGTAATAAAGGGATTTGGATTTAGTCAGCAGCAATACTTTGGTAGGCTGTGATTATTAAAGGATGCTCAGTTGGTACTAAGGGGCTGAAATATTAAATTCAATTAATTTATATAGCACCAAATCACAACAACGGTCCCTAGCAGTGGGGAGGCTGAACAAGCCAGGAGGGATCCATGCTTTCATGTTGTTTTTGCAAAATTCTGGCTCTACTATTTGAATGTTACAGCAGAAGTCCAAACTCCTCAGACCAGGAAACCCTTTTCCACTCTTCAGTTGTCCAGTTTTGGTAAACACATTAAGTTGTTTGCTTCAGTTTCCTGTTCCTTGTTGACAGAAGTGGCACCTGGTGTAGTCTTTTGCTGCTGTAGTCCATCTGTTTCAAGTAGAGCTTGACCACTGCTGGACTTTGGATACCGATGCCAATGTTTGATGATTTAAAAATCCCATATTCCAATATGTTTTTTTTAAAATTTTCTATCTTTTAGACACACAGACAGCTTTTGCTAACATTTATTATTTATAGTTATTTCTTTTTTCATTCATGCCCTGCTTTGATCAGCTGATCGTTTGTAATGTTTTGAACTTGTTGCCAACAGGGGAGGTTGCAGAGTGCCCTCTGGTGGTTAACATGGTTGGGGCTCTTCTCCTGTGTCTTATTTACTTTTCATTTATTGGCTGTTATAAACGCCAATAGTGGTAACAAAAGGCTTACGGCGGCTGATATTCCAACAAAATTGGTCAGGCTTGAGTTCTTAACTGATAAGAGTGGCACTTGGCAGAGTCTTCTGCTGCTGTCACTCATCTGCTTCAAGGCATACTTTGTTTGTAATGACTGGTTATTTTGGTAAATCTTCTTTGATCGTTGACATCAACAAGGGATTTCTGCCCAGAGAACTGCTGCTCACTAGATGCGTTCTCCTTTTTGGAGACCCTTCGTATAGCCTAAAGCTGGTCATGTGGGAAAATCCCAGTAGATCAGACATGTTTAAAGTCACTTTAATTACCTTCGTTCTCCATTCTGATGCATTAATGTTATTGGAAGATTACATTAAACAGTTAAACTGATGTTCATTAATGGAATTCGCCAAAGTGGATGACGAGTGTAATAAATTTTAATTATTAAAATTTAAGAAACTGAGATGGGTTACTGTTGAACATTTTCACTTAAATGTGATGCAGATTTGATGACATGATTACTCGATTTTTATTAAATATGCCTGATAAAATTTCCCCAAAATTAAAATGGGAATGAAATGCTTGGTTTTACAGCTGAAGCTTTGTTTGTTTCATGTGTTTTTAAACATGTAATTATAGCAAATCCGATAATATGTCCAGCATAGTGTCTGCAAATGTGTTGTTTGTAATGATCTCAGCATTGTCTGCAGCACTTGCACACGTAGCATCACAATAAAATGATTCATTTGAAGTACATTGTTAAAAAAATTATTAAACAAATACTCTATGGTTTCCTTTTCAATATTACTCTAACACACTGTGTTTATATTTATGTGCATAAATATGCATACAATCCATTATATTTATATTTCCAATGTAGTATATTGGATAATTACATTAAATTTAATATAATTATGATTATATGAAAATCTGACATTTCTATTGGAAAACAAACAAAAGGAAAAGGACTCCAGCTCTACTTGTCTTGCTTAACCAACAATGTACAACCAAAAAATATTCAGATTACATTTTCAGATTTGAATGGTTAATGCTTCTACGATAAGCTGTCTTTTCTGCTTTTCTAAATGACTGAAACGATCATCAGCTACTTCTTTTTAAGCTTTAATTTCATTCAAACTGAAACATTTCTCAATGGATACATGCTCCTTTGTATTAAATGGACCCATTTTTGTTTTTGTTTTTTCTCTCCATCAGGTGGGGGTACAGCGAAGAGGCCGAGTGCAGCAGTGGGGACCCCACCTCCAGCCATGACCTCAGGAAATGAGAGCGAGGCGCCCACCGTGACGGGCAGCACGCCACAAAACGGAGAGAACAAACCACCTCAGGCCATCGTCAAGCCCCAGGTCCTCACACATGTCATCGAAGGCTTTGTCATCCAGGAAGGAGCTGAGCCGTTTCCCGTGTGTGTAAGTGCTCAATCTCAGCAATACTGGCAGACAAACATGATAAACAACCCAAAGCCAGCACCGTCTCCAGTGTACACGCCTGCAGGGAACTGTCAGCAGGCAAACACATACCCTCTGTTACTGCTAGCAGTGACATCGTACAGCTTCTGTTTGACACTCGTTAATTACAGGGAGATGAGACCCTGTGAATGGGAAAGAATACAGATGGAAGAAGGTAATGAGCAGCGCTCTGTAGTCAGTTCATTTAATCAAGGGCATTAAAATCCTTCCTTAATCTGTGTAGTCATCTCCCTTGAAATTGGTTCATTATTATCTCATATTGTTTGTACAGTTTAACATGTGCTTATATATTAATGTTTGTATCTTTTCAATTGTATTAGTCATTAGGGGGAAAAAAAGTGTAGTTTTAATTTCTAGGCTTTGGCCTCTCTGCCTCCTACTGGACATTTTGTGAAAATGCTCTACATACATGCACACTTGGCTAAACAAGCAGATTACAGTTCCAATTTTTATTTCACAGACATGAAAATAAATAAAATGCAGTATTTAGGAAGATGCGTACACACATGATGACACACAGAGCTGAGGATTATTTTTCCTTTTATAGTAATACATTTTTTTATTCATTTTATGACTCAAATAAATCTGATTACATTTTCCACCTCAGTGTTCTGTCAATTTAACAAAAAAAAAAGAAGAAGAAGAAATTAAACACTGAGTATATATTTCTTATGATGCCAACACTGCCCTGTAAAAGAACTTGATTGTTAACAGTTAACTGTTACTTTATATACGCTGGTATTCAAGTTGCTTTATGTGCCGTATGGACAGGAGAATTAACTGTATGCAAGCTTTATGTGTGCGACATGCAATGCTTGAAAATCAGACTACATTGAAGTGAACATGTCAAGTCTACATTATCAGTTTAAATGGTCACTGTGTGTGGTGGTTTAACAATGATGGTGTTTATCTGTTATTTTTGTGATCGCTATATATTCAATTAACATCCGGAAGACTGAAACATTCAGTTGGTGACCACTGTTTCCTTTTAAGTCTAAAAGGTTTAACTTGTAGTGGCCAGCAGTCAGCTGACTTTTTAAAAAAAATGTCATCTCATCAATACTACGGTAATGAGGCGCAGTGGGGCTGTGCAGTGAAACAGCTGCCCTGATTTCCAGGTTATTATTTGGAGTAGCAGCAGTCTTTGCGTTAATGTTGCTGCGGCGACAGAATGCAGCTGTTGTGATAAAGCAGTCCAGATGTAAACCCTTAAACCACACCCATTGTTTCTTGTTACTGTTGTTTGCAGCGTTTCATTTTTAGTCCATTTATAAATATTTTATGCCCCACACCAGGTGGAGCGTCTGCCCATTCTCATCGATAGTCCAAAGAAGCTGGACCATCAGCTCTCATCTGACCCGGACAAAACTCCGGTCAGCAACGCAGCCAACACCGACTCCGAGCCCGAGGACATGAGCCAACCAGGTGAGACCAAACACATTACAGTGTAGATTGTGTATATTTCTTTGTGTAGCTTCACCAAGTTTTGGAGGTGTTAGTCTGTCGCTCCTGATTTTTCCTGCCAGGGTTTCACATAACGTTAAAGGAATTCACTTTACAATGATCATCCTCTCATAGTATTGGAAGGTGTTACGAGCAGACACCGACCCAACAGACAGAAACTCTGACCCTGGTGTGTCCGTAGAGTTTATTTAACCACGTAAACTGCATTTTGCTCCTCTGCCCCAACAGTCAAACCCAACACTTCTAAATAATGTAGACCCTCTGGAAGTGTTTTTAACTCAGTTGCTGGAAGTTCATTATTAATTAGATGTTCTGTCAGTTCCTGTTTCCTGATACATGCTTCTTTTTTACCTTTATCTAGCATGTTGTAACAAGTTGTCCATTTATAAGTTAGAAAAAGACCTATGTAGAAAAGTGCTGAAAATATCGGAAACGGTGTGGAGTAGATATTTGGCAACACTAGCTGATGTTGACATTTGTGGTTTTGCTGCAAATGCCTGTTTTTTGGGTTTTTTTTGCCTTCACTTTAATGTGGAACACTTGCAGGAAGTGCCATCAGTAGCTTTACAAGGGTTGACCAACTGCTGTAAACAAAGCACTCGCAGAGAAATCTCTTGAAAGAGGTTCAAAGCAATGTAGGTTTGTATGTATTTGACATCTGCACCCTGAGCCTTAACCATCTCATGACTCTCCGTCAGAAGTAGAAATGATGCTTTAACGTTGGGCCCCGAATAGTTTAGATGAGCTACCTACAGTTTTAATTTTCTGCACGCTGAATACACCTAGTATTATGTCTGTCCTTTTTTTTTTTTTTGTTCAGAAGAAAGTCTAATACTTGACACGTGTGTTGTGTTTATGCTGCTTCCTCTCCCCCAGAAAAAGATGAGCCCAAGCTGACGTGTGAATACTGTGGCTGGGTTGATTTTGCTTACACATTCAAAGGCTCTAAAAGGTTCTGCTCGGTGGTTTGTGCAAAGAGGTAAGTAACCTTGGCTTTTTTTCTTTCATGTAAGAAAATAGCAATTTTTCCATTATGTTCACAAAAAAGGAATTTAAAAAAATATATATATATATTTATTTGTATGAACAGATACAACGTAGGCTGTACGAAGCGGATTGGACTTTTCCGTCCAGAGAGGAACAAACCAGCAAATCGCTGGCGTCGACGGTCTCAGGGCCGCCCCAGTATTGAGGCAAAAAAGCAGGTAACAACATGCTTCTTAACTGTCATAAAACTTCCTCATCAACACTTTACCTCTCATCAGATAATGCTTCTGCTGCACATTTTAAACCCTGCACTTTTCATGCCTCTTGCTTTTTAATGAAGTTGAACATAATTTGTGTGAGCCCGATTATCTCCCTCTGTCTTTAAAGGGTCATTAAGTACTCGATGATCTTCATCAGCCTTTATTGGTGACCGGCAGAAATGGGAGAGCATTAGTAGAGATTTTCTGCCTTCTGCACAAGTTATATAGATGTAGATAACAACTGGATTCACAGTTTTCTCCCCACACGTCAAAGCCTTCTTTTGGGACGTAACACATTATCCTTTAACTGAACGTAAAGAGAAGCAGTTTAGGTAATTACAGCAGAAATTCAGTGGAAAATATAAAGCAAGCATTTTACACCACAATAGTAAAATGTGGTGTAAAATTTTCTTTTTGAATCAAGAGCTTTTTAATATTTTATGGCCAGCTTATGTAATGTTATAAGGATTCAGCTTTAAACCTCCAGTGGGGGGTGCTTTTGTGTCATGTTTACACCAATATGCTTAGGGCTTTGCAATTCAAAGACGAAGTGATATTTGAGGCAATGGTATTGATCCATTAATCCCCATCATATCCCTGCAGGTGTATTATCGGCATTTAAACCTATTGTACCCTACAAATCTTACTTATTATCCCGTTAATCTTTGCGTTGACTTTTATATTGACCTGGGAGTGTTTTACTTATGCGCTATCCTTTTCTTAAATGTAACAATTGATGTCACTCCCGTTTGTATTGCTTTGCAGAAGCTGGCCTTGTCACCACAGCAAACTCAGGGCGGTTCTGTATCCTCACCACATCCCTCCCAGCCCAGTCAGGAGGAATCCAGCCCGTGTTCAGACATGTCGAGCTACGAGGAGCCACCGTCTCCCCTGTCAGCAGCCAGCTCTGGACCTTTGGCTCCTGCCCCGGCTCCAGCCCAGGTCCCCGTCCCTGTCCGCCGTCAGCCGAGCAGGGCCTCGGACCAGGAGGCCTGCGTTGGGAGAGATGGAGCACCGCTCTGTCAGCGCTTCGTACCCAACGACCCCACCAAATGGAATGTGGAGGAGGTTTATGAGTTCATTCGTTCACTACCAGGTGAGTAGGATTTGTTAAGAAGGCACAATCATAATGCTTTATACTCGGATGTGTTCCGTGTATGAAACCTGTTTACCTGTTATTAACTGTAGCTCGTGCCTCTGCTGTTTTCACAGGTTGCCAGGAGATAGCAGACGAGTTTCGCTCTCAGGAAATTGATGGACAGGCCTTGCTCCTGTTAAAGGAGGACCACCTGATGAGCACTATGAACATTAAGCTGGGACCTGCACTCAAGATCTTTGCACGCATCAACATGCTCAAAGACTCTTAGCAGGAAACCGTGTGTGTATGGGTGTGTCTGTTTGTGTGTCTTTGTATATTATAGCACTGATGGCACAGAGTACTGACTGCACTGTGAGCAGGCCTGCTCCATTACTGGACTGGTTCCTGTCATCCAGAATCTCACTCAAGCTTGACTCGACCTCCCAAACCAGATCTTACTCACCGGCATCAGCTCAGTCGCCTTGTGACCATTTATGCTTCTGCTTGGTAACGTTAGAGTGACGTGTCAGACACTTCAGTCTGTGTTTACATGCAGTCACAGGAGAAGCTTTTCAGTTGCTAAACCTTAAAGGAGCCTGTACAAAAGCTGTGCCAAAATCTTTTATTTTTCCAGATGAAAAGAAATTATACTTTAAAAGTATACATGGTTGAAACAGCAGACGCATAAGTTTCCACCTGGCAGTGCACCTGGTGAGTTCTTTCTGGGTTAAAAAGAAAAAAACTACACGAGTTGATGTGGGTATAACTGTTAGTAGAAAAGACATCAGATGTCAAAACTGGAGACAAGTTAATGGCAAGCAGCAGCCTCTGGGGCTGAAAAAGCCAACGCACAAGTGCCAAAAACTGCAGTTCTTCTACAGTCGCTGGCTCTAAAAGCCATTAATCCCCCTTACCCAGTTTATGCTTCCCGTTGTCGCCCTTGCTAACAGTGGTGCTGGCCAACAGTGACATCACAATTGCTGGCAAGCACGACGCATCGGTGTCATGTAGGCTGGTGTGTACTATCATGCCACCATTTCAGTGACACAGTCGTACAGAAGCTCGGAGATTCTAGAGGGATTTTTAAAGCAAGGCAGATGCAGCAACAGCTTAAAAACATGACTTTGCCGTAGCTTTGCATCCTTTTTCTTCTTCTCCTATACCAATGCTCCTGTGAAGGATTCTTCTTAATAGGAGATGAATCTGATGTGCGTCAAGCACCAGTATAAATGGGTACAGGGCTGTAATGACGTCACGGTTGGTGTAACAAGCAATTTGATTAACATAAGCTAGACTTAAGACCCCAATGTTAAAATGCTCAACTTTACTGTATCAATAAACATGTCTGCAGCCTTGTACAAAAATGTTTTGGTCTTTCTGGATAGATTACACCTTCAAACAGCCTAATTGTATCTGATAGCTCTTGGCGAAGCTTCCATTCAGCTAAATAGAGTCGCTATATTTAACTTCTCAACTGTGTTTGGTGCCTTTGGGAGCTTTTTTTAATGCTGTTATCTGACATTTTATATGGTATTAAAGCACTGCTGAACTTCATATCTGTGCAGGTATCTGTACTATAGATGCAGCTTACAACCCAAGCTTGCCAGCATTAACTGATAGCACTGTTTGCTATTGAACAAATACATTCAGCACAGCTCCAACACAACATGGACATATAGCTCAAAGTTTAAAGTGCCAGTCCATAAGTTGATAAGTGATGTTGCACTACATCCATCAATTACATAATCTGCTTCTCTGCCATAAACAGACGACGGGGGAAAATACCTCTATAATGTCAGCTTTTCAAGCTTGGGAACGATAATCTTCTATTACATGTGTAATCTGTTAAGCTGTGATCACAGTGCAGGAGAATTAAGATAACAAGAGTGTCCTTTTAGTACCAGATGTAACAGCAATTATCAAATGTCATTAAGCAGATTCCAGATGAAGATACTGATCCTGTGATAATTACAGAAAAATGGAGTGTCATGTTTACCCCGGAGAGTTTTTTTTTTTTTATAAATAAAGTCTCTAAAAGCTTAACTGAGGGAAAATGTGGCTAAGAGAAGAGACAGTGCCAAGGTGCATTACCTGTTCAGTTATGATTGGGCCAGTTCACACTGCAGCACAGTCAGTGCTGAATGGAGGCATTGGGACAAAACATGAGAGAAGTCTCGATTTATTATATTATTAGACAAGTTTTTGTACAGTTTGGTTAGCGTGTGAATGAGAGCGAGGTGGCTGTACGTGCGGCTGGGAACAGAAGATTGCATTCATTCATTTGCCCATTTTTATTCACTTGATGCTCCTTTGCCTTTTCTCACAATGGACTCTCACAGCTCTCGAATACAAAGCTTGAATGCGAAGAAACAATTTAAACAGCCTGTTTTGTGACATCGATTTTTCCCTTCCATCCGCCAGTTTTCTCCTCTGAACTTACACTGCTTACAAATGATTTTTTTCCCAGCTGCTCTTTTTTTTGTTGTTGTTAAAGATTTACTAAAATATGATATTGATTTCTTGTATGAGATTTGTAAAAGTACACTAAATTATCAAAGAAAAAATGTGGGTACGCTGCTCTCTTTTCGTAGCAGCTCTGTTTTTGGCACTTATTTTCTCTTTTGCGTTAATGTTGGGGAAACGCTTCACCTAAAAGTGAGAAATCTGGAGTGGCATTTGTGAAGCGGTGCCAAAAAAAAGTTTATATGTGCATCACAGCTCAAGTGAGGAAGAAGAGTGTGAATCTGTTAAGTTATCGTTTTAATTTTTTAACAAAAGTATAAAAGGTGTTTGATATTTTGAAATATGCAAATGTATAAAGTACCATTGGCTTGGGAATTTTGGGTTTGTTTGTTTGTTTTCTATGGGGGGAAAAAATGTTCATATTTACTTGTTTTGTGGGCGAGTTTGGAAAGTTGACTTTTTTTTGATACTGCTTTGTTAAATGCTTGTATTTATCAAAACTGTTTGTTACACATTTTGCAGTCATAAATAATTTGCTATACAATTCTGTGTCGGGACATTTGTGTGTGTCTGTGGATTTTATTATTTATTTATTTTATTAATGGGACACCTCTAGTTGTTAATTTATATACAAAGCATTTAATTTCACAAATTCCATTTGAATGAATGCGCTTGTGTTTTTTGGAGCATGTTATCAGAATTTTATGACCACTGTTTCTTTCTCTTGAAGTTCCAGACTCGTGAGGACCGAAACTTAAAATGCTGAAATATTATCAGGTTTATTTAATTAAAGATGGAAAATGGTTTTGAAAATGGGCAGATTTGGCAATATATTTAGAGATTTCTTCAATTAAGCACCGAAGATCTAAATATAACCGGGCACCAAAGCATTTTCTTTAAAAGGCACATATTTCTTCTTTTGATACATGTTCAGTCTCCCTGTCTACATTAAGTATTTAAAGAAATATGCTAATCTATAGACTAATCACAAATGAAATCCAAAAACGATTAACAAACAGAACACCATCTGAAATGATGGCGTTATTATTATTATTGGGATATGATATAGAAAACATGACCTTGAGAAGACACGCAAAAGCAAATTAGCTTTCTAGCTCCATTTTGTGTCCAGTCCATTTGGCCTACTTGATGAGGGAGGTGAGGGAATTGAATATCATATAAAATAAATATAAAATCCATTATGTAACAAACCTGGAACCTGAACACACACAACATATAAAAAAAATTATGGATCTGGTTTATAAAGGATAAAGTAAACAGAACATACACAAACAAATTAGTAATTGTAGAACAGGCCTTTTAAAAGTACTGGTGCAGTATTTGAGTGGTTCGGTATAACGCACTGGTTGACGGTTCACGTTCCTAAGCTGTGTACCTGCTCTTTCTCGAAATTGGAACAAAGATGTTTCCAGGTGTTGAGCTCTCATAACGTTTCGTACAATGGCTGACGGGCGGTTTCCTTTTTGTTTCCACCGAACTATAATGAAGAAACAGGTAGCTCGAGTTTTGTTTCAAACGCAGAGACGAGCAGCGTACAGTACAGAAAACTGCAGCACAGACACGCCCACTGATTTGATTTGAGAACGGACCAAACCAAAAGAAGTAGCGGCTTTTTTAATGTCTTGTCTTTTTCAAGGTAGAAAATAATTTAGTTCAGTGGTTTATTATGTTTATAGCTGCATTTTTCTATGTGAACACAGTCACGCATACAGGATAGACTTTCCTGTGAAACAGGAAGAGCGTCTATCATTGTTTAACCATCCCCCCCTTATTGGTGAAAATAGTTTAGTCCAAGTTTGAAACGATGTTTTGAACTGGAGGTTTTTAAACTGCGGAAAGAAACACTGTAACGTTTCTAACATACTACTCACCTCTAAAACCTATACTATATTCTTTAAATAACAGCAACAGGTAAGTTCGCCTTTAGAAAGGTGTCATATTTTCATTTCTGTGTAGTCTTATTTTTGACTTTAATAAATACGTTTTTACTCATTTTATTTTATGTAATTTTTTGTTAATACTTTAATGTACACATGTAATAGTACATTTTCTGTGTGTGGAGTGTAGGTGTACCCAATTTTACCCTTGTACCCAACTTCATTAGTTTTCTTTTTTTCCTAATAAATAATGTTTAACCTAAATATTTATGTTTATATCAATAAACATATTTATATCAATAGTTGCTATAGTGTGTGTGTGTGTGTGTGTACATATGTATGTGTATATATATAAATATAGAAAATGTGTGTTTATATAGATAGAGTTGAATATAGATACAGGACTATTGTACATTTATAGAAAAAGGTGAAAACCCCTTATAATTTCCTAGAAGTAGTCACACTTTATGTTCTTTTTGATCACTAGTCCCCAAACCAGGGGGCAAATCTTTGAAACTCTAGCTGTGCTGTTTCTCATTAAAATATTACTAAAACTGTTGCTTGATTGTTAATCAATTGACGAACAGTCTCAACCATGACCATTTTGAGTGGAGGCGTAGTTAAAACCTGACAAAAGTGACTATTTGTACCACGTTAACGAGCGATCTAAATGTCTAGACTGCTTCTGAAATGCCAAATCAGAGAGAGGGGGCCACTGATGATTCCCCTGCTGACCTTCCCTGTCTGGAAAAACTTGACTCTCCAACAGGTACGTGGCAGTTATTACAGCAGTTATTGTTTTCAGGCACATTCAGGGGCCATTAGTAATTGAAATATTACCACCGTGGCAGTTTTAATTATCTGTGGGTGTGTGTGTCCTGTCTGTGGTGTCAGGGAGCTCACCCACAGCCTCATTATCCAGTCTAATGGAGCTGGAAAATTGCGTTTCCAACCTGAGTCTTGCACATGAGATAGTGGTGAACAGAGACTTCTGCTTCAAACCCCGAAATCCTTCTACAGACAGGCAAGAAAACACATCTACAGTGACCTTGGTTATTCTTAGTTCCTATATTAATGAGTGTTTTTACCCTTGAGCTGTTCTTTTAAACTGCTTGTCTGCAGCCTGGAGGGTAGAGTGACAGAAATCGTTCACCGGGCCTTTTGGGACAGTCTTCAGGAGCAGCTGAACAGCGATCCTCCAAACTACAGCCACGCTGTGCTTCTGCTGCAGGAAGTCAAAACTGTGAGTATCTGGCATTGTAAGGGTCAAAAGGAAAGCACAAACATGATCACCAACCTTATAAAAGGAGGAATTAGCGCTATCTGATCAATAAAGCATTACTTTAATTCACAATGTATTTGTTATGACGCTGTCAAAAATATTCAGGTTTAAAAGAAATGTGAAGACAAAAAAGAATCTTACATTTTAGATCTTTTAGGGTTTTTTTGTAACAATTAAAAAGTCATTTTTAAAGTGACATAAAACAGAAAAATCAGAGAAATACATGTCACAATGATATTACAACAGATTGGGTTTGGCAACCGTGTGGCAGTCCTTTGAGTTTATTTGAGTTTGTACATCACTTTGATGTGTAGAAATCCTGTTGTGGGCAGATGTCCCAGTCCTTTTCACACAAGAAAGAAGCTGAACAGCTGCTTGTTTCAGAGTTTAAAAATTGAAATCTTTGTGCCTTACATTGAATGAAAATGTTGGTGGTTGAAAATATACAGTACAAGGGAAGTGATTATCCAGCTTATTTCTTTGATCATTCTGAAAAAACAACATTGCATCTTTTGAGATGAAACATTAGGTCACTGCAAAGTGTATTTGTAGCTTCTGGGAACCCCAACATATATACCCAGATGTTTATCTTTAATATAGTCACACTACTGCGCCTCCACAAGGTTTGCACAACTTTTTTTTAAAACAGATGAGAGGTTCAGGTTTGGCTGCTTTGAGAGTGTACATTTACTTAGAGAAGCTCTGTCTTTGCACAATCTTCTATTTCCTGTAAATTTAAATAAGAAATGGAATAAGATCCCTTGAGCACATATGTAGATTTTCATATCTTCTCTTTTGATTCCAAAAAAAGGAGAAGAAATGAAAAAAATAGAAAGAAACTGGCCATGTCATCTTTAATCAAACCCATATACTACTCTACTTTTATCTTAGATGTGTGCTTGTATTTTATAGCTTGTTTAAGATTGTGTTTATCTGCCCAGGGATTGTAAACTTTGTAGTAGCTAAATCTTTATTAAATAGAAACAGTTCCAAGTGACTGTTTGCAGTGGATTATATTAAAAGAACTGGATAAACAGAATATTTCCAAACAAAACATAACATGTTAGTGAAAATAGGCATTTTTCTTCACATTAGATGCTTCAGTCCCTGCTCTTGCCTGCTCACGTCAGACTGAGGTCTCAGCTTGACGAGGTGCTGGATATGGATCTGATCAGGCAGGAGGTCGACCACGGGGCTCTGGACCTCCACCGACTGGCGGAATTTGTTATCAACACCATGGCATCTTTATGTGCTCCGGTGCGCGACCCAGAAGTCAGAACACTGCGGGATCTCAAGGAACCTGTGGAGCTCCTGAGGTAAGAAGCAGGTTAACAACACCTGCACCGAATAAACTTGTGTCTGACATGGAATCAGTGGCAGGCTGTGGCCATGTATTAAATCCAGCATGCAGCAAGTTGTATTCCTGTAATGACATCACTTGCAGACATTATTACCATGAAATGTAACGTAAAACCGAATTAATATACATTCACTGATCAGTTTTCTGCTTAGTAATGCAGTGCCAATATAAGATAAATCCAAACTTTTTTTCAGTTGGTGTGAGTTTGGATGCTCTGTTCTGCAGGAATACCTCTCATAATGTCCAATTATAACTAAAAATAATCCTCAGTATGTGCAAATATTTAAATATGCTTGTAAATTCTTGTTTTAAAAATAGTATAAATCCCACCAGAATTAACAAAATCTATTTAAACAATATAAAGATGCAAATATATTAATTTATATCCAAAGCAT